TTTACCACTAGCCGCACGAAGAAATCCTCCATAATATTTATTCCGTATTTATACAAATCCTGAAATTCTTCTGATGGAGGACAACGTGTGACCGCACCGAACTCGGGTTGCTGAAGAATATCTTGAGGGTCACAGTATGGAGTGGATGTAATGTACAGCTCAATTCCCAGACCTGAATCCGATAGAGCATCTTCAGGACTACCTTGGGAGACAGGTTGGTACTTTAAGTTCTCCTCCAAGGTCGTTAGATTAGCTTGAACAAGGATTACTACGTTTCTGGTCGTTGCTTCCTATTTCACTGATCGACAACTTACACTGCTGCCCATGTATTGCAGCTAGGGGTGGACATATTCCTTAACAGAACCCATTTATGTAATGTTACCACCCCATTTTTCTTCAAAAATTTGTGGTATGCTGCTTCTCCAAGACTGGATTTCTGTGCTAAAAGTGCAATTGTGCTAATTCATGTCTGTGTTAGACTTTAGAAACATTCTATGTCGCATTCATTAAAGAACTGTTTAGTGAACATGTCCTGTAAATTTCTTGTTTCTATGTTTCTTCATTCTCAAATTAGACACAAAAAACATGCTGTTCCTTAACGTTTGCACGGCAGTGTATAAACTCAAATAAATACTTTCAATTTCAGTCAACAGTCTGATAAACCAGTGTTTTTTTTTTTTTTTTTTTTTTTTTTCCATATAAAGGTAATTTTCGACATTGGTGAATATAGTGTAAGCATAAAATAACAGCCAATTAAGGGCGACCTCATGGGCTTAAAGAGCAGGGCATCCGTTGCAGCTTTAGAGGTAATATATAAGCGCAGAATGATCTACTCTCTTGGTATACGAAAGTAAGTTAGTACATAACTACAGCTACAGTTAAGGTAACCGTATATCAGGAAAATTTTCCGATACAGGATTTTACCGAGCCTGAATTTCCTTTTAAAATTTTTCTATTATTATTATTATTGTTATTGTTTAGAACAGACGCAAACATTAACCAATGTAATGTAGTTATGGCCGTCCAACTAATTTCAAAATTTGTCTTTTCAGGGGCTTTCGAAAACTTAATACAAGTTTTCCTCGTAGATGTAGTGGAAACTTGATTATTCAGAACTCTTTCAATCGCCAGTTCCTATTATCTATGAGCAACTGGGACAGCAAAACTGAAAACTTCCTCCATAAAGCGACGAAAAATTAAATACAGAAACTCGTAATATAAGATAAACCTTATTACTGCTGTTTTCGGTACGGTAATTAGCGATGCTGACTGCCATAACGTTAGGCCCGGATCGAATCCCGGAAAAGGCATGTAGTCATCTGTCCTCTGTCATCGCGCATATAACAGCAGTCAATGCCCTGCAGTGAGTGAAACGTACTGTTCTACGTTTTATTTTAAATTTAGTTGAAAATGAAAGCACGTCCAAAAAATAAAAGATTTTCATATTTAATGCACTGTAGCTACAGACGTTCTGGAGGTATGTTAATTTTTCTGCATATGATAGTAACCAAGTTAAGAAGCTTTGGTGTTTAAGATTTGCGATTTTAATATTTATTCCGTATTTATACAATGTACATGCAGATTTTCATGCAGATTTCTCCAGTGTCCGAAAAAGTATAAAACTTGCCTTACTTAAACTATTTTTATAACTTTATAATTTTATATCTTCTAAAAAAAAGGTTCAGATAAAGAATGAAAAATAAAAGGAAAGGAATGAAATTTAACCAAACTTGTTAGTAGAAATGAAACCTTGCAATCTTGGATAAGCTTCGTTTTTTCTTTTGTCACAATTTGATTTGCTTTGAGCAATGTTGTATCGAAATAATAAAATTTCTCTATTACTGTAAACCTAGTTTTAGTTAAAACTAAGTACGAGAGTCACTTTGAAATTTTTAAAGTACAGCTAAGTGATACAAGTTAAACTTTACCAAACTTTTACAATTCAAATATGCTTTTACAGCCTCATCAATCTCGTCTTCGAAGCTATAATGACGACCAAGTAAATTGAATCCCAGACGTAAACGACGCACACAAAAAAATCAGGAGAATAGGGTGGATGTTTTATCACTTTATTGCGTTTTAGTTTAAGAAACTCAACTGTCAGTCTTCCTGAATGCGAAGATGCATTATTATAATGAAGCGTAAGTTCCCTGATTTTCAGTTTTTAAAGAATTTCTGGAACACGCTTAGAGTTAAACCAATTAGCTGTAACTGTCTTCCGCCCTCTAACTTGATGGCTTTGACCAGTCCTATAATTCTAAAGAAAACAGCATATATTACATTTTTCATTATTATTTGTCTTTTCAGTATTGTTGATTTGAAGTCATATTCAAAGCCATCTATACTACCTATATTTTACTTTCTTGACGTCTTGGAACGTAAAAAAGACATGCACATTTCGACACCAGTCATGATTTTGGAAATAGTGCCGTGTCATTAAAAAATCATTAAAGAATTTTAGGGTTTCTTTTTCTGATTCTGGCATGCTCCGCGTTTTTGTGTTTCGTTAATTTATGGCGAACCCAACGGAAAACTAATTTTTTCATATGCAGGTCTTCACGAATATGTTATGTATAGCTTCGGTTCCAATGTTAAGTTCCTTCTATATAATTTGGGAGGTACAGCGAAAATCATTAACATTTTTCGTATAGCCGACACATTTTTTGAAACTCATTTTCTCACAAATGTCTTCCTGTGTGTTCTTCAGCTAAAGAGAATTTCGACCTTTACAGAAAGTAGCACAAAATAGAGTTTCATTTCCATATATTAACTGTATTTCTTTGATTTACCTGCACTTTAAAATCATAGAAAATCATAGCGAGATAATGCTGCGGTGGAGTCCCATTTTCCTTTTTTCAAAATTTAGTCTATGATAGATGAATTGAAATTGTTCCCACAGTTATCACCTTCGGGCATAAAAGAGTTTAAATTCATGCATCTAACAAATTTTCTTTTATCGCATATTGTCTGCCCCTGTCTAAAACATTTCAGAGTTAAATACATATCGTTTGTTTTATTACTACTATCAAAGACTCAATAGTCATTTATTTAAGTTTAATTTTAATGATTTTATTCATTATTTCTGTAAGCGTATATTGAAGTTTTCAGGAGGAAATATTACTACAGTGGATTAGGAAAACTAATTAAATTATATGTTGAAGACAGTGAACTGAAAGTTAGCAAAAAAATGCCATTTTATTCTCGCAGGAAACTGCAGTCGGAGTTTAGAGTAAATTTTGTAACCTTGTTCTTCAATTAAAATTAATCATACTTGTTTTTGTTTATTATTAGTAATTTTTAAACACGTTACTGTATACATGATATATTAGAAGCAACGTGAGCTGCCCTTTAACTTCATTAGAATTATTTTTAAGCTTAGTATATCGTATAACATCAGAATCTTCATTATATAAAACAAATAAGCGTATCATAGCTTTCACAGCAGTATTTAAAATGGCAGATCAGGTTTAGAATTGGATATACAAATAATCAAAATAAGTAATATAGACTATAATCCTAGATCCAATATAAGAAACTAAAATGCAGTTTTCATTTGCTGTAGCTTGGGAGCATCCATCTTTTCTGAACCTTTTTCCTTTTAGTGATTTGTGGCTTCATATGTAACAGTCTACCAAATCAACAAGTTGAATAAATGCACATATTTAAAACAAAAAATTTAAATTCATTATAACTCCAGTCTAGATTTTACAGGCATAAAAAATTGCAAATTATTGCAAATTGAAGCCTGCAATACAGTAGATAACTTCTAACAGTTATTTGCCATAACAGTAAAGCTTAAATTGAACTTATAAGCGACTCAATTTTAGTTCTTTTCCTAGCAGTTTTATTCTAATGTAGTTTAGTTTGTTCTAATTCATTTTCCTGGCAATAACGTCATCTGAACATACTTTAAATCCACAAAAGAACTGCAATTTAATCTCTCACAACTTATTTATGCCAACAGCGATTTACAGAAATAACTCAGTAATTCGGGATAAATTAAATTCAGCTCGATCAGAACCGCGTGACTTTTTCATAAGATCTTTCATTTCATTCTTTACTTCTAGAGACGTAGATATGGAGGCAAACTTAGAACACTTATCTTGTCTAACAAAAAAACAACGTCACAAACTGATATTCGATAGTGAATGATTTTCATGGGTATATTGGGATGCTGAAATAAAAATCTTTAATTGCAAAGTCAGAAATCGTATATGCAACACCTTCGCGATAGTAAAATCAACCATCAATATACAACTGAATTTCACGCGTTGGTACTTTATACGGAAACACCTTCGGCTTCTTCCGATTCTCATCAGCACATTTAATCGTCTTTTTCCTTGATATACTGTGTTTATATATGATGCCTTTTTACTACAATTTTCTAAAGTAGACCATTTGTTCTTTTTCTTAATATAAGATTTTTCTACGACTTAAAAGTACGTCCTAAGGATGTTTATATGTCTTAAAGACGACACCATCTGCATGTAACAGCAGCTTACCAACCTGCTTTCTTTATTTTTTCGCATGTGATAATATTGCTGATTAACTTATTAACTTTTATGTGTGACGCTACACAAAAAGATAGAAAACAAGTACCTTGATTACCTATGACACTACACAAAAATAAGTACCATGACTTTAAGGTCAAGAACGTTTTCTTGTGAGCTAATTAAATGCATAGTATCCAATTGATGTGTAGTTGCGGCAGCTGTCGCTAGACTACGCATTTAGTGACTGTCAGATATCAACTGTGCTGATCATAAAGGAATCCTTGGCTTTCAGATCTTCCGTACGATCTTGATTCAAAACTTCAGCATTATTTTATTGCTATTATTTTTTTAATTCTTTCAGTTTGATTCATATTTTAAGTGTTTATTATTTAAGTTTTATGCTATATTCATATTCTTTGCAGCTTGATTCATATTTTAAATGTTTATTGTTTAAAAGTTTTATGCTACATTCATTTGGTTTTTCACTAACTTATTGTATTGTTTCAGGTAATCACGATGCTGTATGCTGTGAACAATGAGGCCCTGAAAATGAGGTTTCGACAGTTGAAACATATAACTATTTTATTTCTGATGCTTACTTGTGTTCGATTCTCTTCTCAAGAGTGTAACTTACCGAAGGCAAAGCCATTGGATTCCACGTGTCTTTGCGAATCCTTGGACAGCTTCAATGGATGGTCATATACATGTATCAGTAATGCTGATTTCGAGGTGATATTTGGTTTGAAATATGTTATTGACAGCTCAGTGACAATTCAGTGTGGTCATTACCAGCCAAACTATGAGTCTTTACTTCAAGAACTAGATCTTACAGAAATACATACTTTTGTGTTTAAGTCATGTTCTCTGCCAAACACATCTTTTGGTGAAGTTATACCCTACAATGAAAAGTATCCCGTAGAGCAAATTAAAATAGAAGCGAAGAGAGACAATAGAACGTTTACTCTTGAGTTATTCAGTAATGTTTCAGAAACTCTGAAAAGTTTAATCCTAAGCAATAATAAAATTCAGGTGCTACCAGAGTCACTATTCAGTAACTTCAGTGAATTAAAATATCTTTCACTTTCTGATAATATGTTAAAGACACTACCAGAAAATATCTTTTCAAATCTCAAAAATTTAATCGTCTTGGAAATCGCAAATAACTATCTCGAGATTTTACCTCAAGGTCTTTTTCAGAACTTATCTCAACTTGAAAAATTATATTTATATAAAAATCGAGTAAAAGATTTGCCTAACGGCTTGTTTAGAAGCTTGGTGAATCTGAAAGTTTTAGATTTAGCTGATAATCATCTCATCCTATTACCTAACGACGTATTTCATGGCTTATCAAGTGTCATTCATGTTCGTCTGCGTGGAAATTGGTTGGGGACTATACCTGAGGGATTATTTAGTAATTGCTCAAATTTACAAGAAATCGATCTAAGTCTAAACAGATTTATGGAACCATTGCCTGAACATCTGCTGCATGGAGTACCTCGTTTAGAGAATGTTAGTCTTCATGATTGCAATCTTACGCATATTCATGAATTCTTCTTTTCATTTTCTCCGAATATAACGCATCTAAGACTAGAGAACAATAGACTTTCTATACTACCTGAGAAAATTTTCAGGAATAACACAGTGTTGAAAGAATTGAATTTAAATTTCAATTCCATTCAGGAATTGCCTGAAAATCTCTTTCCAAATCAAAAGTACCTTGAAAAACTCTTTCTATTTAAGAACAACATATCAGTTTTACCTAATGGCGTTTTTAAGTATACCAGAAATATAAAAACTTTAGTGCTTGGGGGAAATAAACTTCAAACTATTGGTAGAGCTATATTCCGTGATCTTCCAAATTTGGAAGAATTAGATTTAAGCAAGAATAACTTGACATATTTTAGTTTAGATTTCAATGAATATATTAAGTTCATTGATTTATCATATAATAATTTAACACAGATGCCTTCCATAAACTGGCTTCAACACTTAAAACTAGAAAAATTAAACATGGATTATAATAAGCTTACATATATCGAAATTCCGGTACTGTACTCAACTAATAGACGCAATCCTACCTTGAATATTGCACATAATAACATTAAAACTGTAAGCGTTCAAGATATATTGATTAACGATCAAACTATAAAAGATTTGCCTTCCAAAGATTACGAAAGTTATGTTGAGACTTCAGTATCATTAGCTTCAAATCCTTTTTCATGTGACTGTAGAATTTACAATTTCTATGATTACTTAAAGGGAAATAATGAAGCGCATAAACGATCAGTTCGTTTTACAAGAACTCAGGACTTGACATGCCAAGAACCTCCAAATTTAGTTAATCAAGCAATTGTACAGTTAAGACCAAATCAGTTTACATGTGATTTAAATGATAATTGCTCAACTTCATGCCATTGTTACATAAGGGCAGAAGACAATTCTCGAGTCGTTAATTGCTCGGATCTCAAGTTAAAAAGTCTTCCTACATCTATCCCGCTGAACACTAGTGTGCTTTACTTCCAAGGAAACATGTTGTCAAGTATGGGTGGCTTTAACAGTCAAATATGGGAAAACCTTACGGATTTGTATTTAGATGGAAACCAGATAACATCCCTGGATCATTGGAGCATACCCACTAAGCTTAAGCATCTTTCTTTAAAGGGCAATCAACTCAGATATTTAACTTCAACTTTTATGGATTTATTATCAGTTACGAAAGGGTTTCAAATATCACTAAGTGATAATCCATGGAACTGTAATTGCTCCACTGTAACTTTTAAAAAATGGTTAACTGAGCATTATCAGTTTGTTAAGGATGTGAAAAATGTTATGTGTGCAAATAGATTAAAACTGAATGGCACCCTTATGCGAAAGCCGATACTGATGATTCCTGATGATGTCATATGTCCAATAAGTGACTGGCCTTACAGGGTACAACTGATATCTGTGACTGTGATTTGTGTCATTTTAGCTTTACTGCTTTTTGTAGTATCTGTGCTGTACTACAGAAATAAGCAAACAGTAATTGCTTACGTGTATATTCACATGCACAATGTTTTTATGTGCTTCTTCAATGAAGAAGATATCGATGAGGATAAAACGTTTGATGCGTTTGTTTCTTACAGTAGCTCAGATCGAGATGTAGCCCTTAGGCTTATAGAAGAACTAGAAGACAAAGAGCCCCATTTTAAACTTTGTATCCACGAAAGGAATTGGATAGCGGGTAATCAAATTAGCTGGAATATCTTTAATTCTGTGCACAATAGTCGCAAGACTATATTAGTAATCTCTAAAGAATTCCTTGAAAGTATGTGGTTCCAAGTAGAATTCCACACCGCTTATTATCAAATGCTTGAAGACAAAATTGATAGACTTATAATTATCGTCAAGGGGGAACTCCCTCCAAAGGATACTCTGGATAAGGACCTCCAGTATCTCTTATCCACAAAAACCTACTTAGTTTGGGAAGAAAAGTGGTTTTGGGAAAAATTAAAATATGCTATGCCTCACAAAAAACAACAGATGCTTCAGAATGATGTGCTGGCTTTAAAAGATAGGCCAGCTAGCGAAAAAATTAAAACAGTTGAAAATCAGATTGCTATTTTTTCATCGGGTGGTAATAAAACCACCGGTAAAGTTCAGGAAGTTGTTCAAAATGGCACAAATAAAGCTTTAAATTTAGTAAATAAGGAAACTATGAATAAGAAATGAAACTTCAATGCAATGAGTCAAATAGTTAGAAAAGATTTTGATTCTGAATTCGCTTTAATGGGCAATATGCTACTGATTGAGAAACTTTTATCATATGGTGCTAATATTTAGACTACATGTTGTCCTTATATCAACTGTAAAAGTTGATAAAAGAGAATTATTGTACAAATGTAATGTTATTTCTTCTTTCAGATCTCATCGTATGTGCTTCAACTTTGTTTATGTGCAATTGAAATTATATATGCATTTTGTTTGTAAACATAAGAACTGCATTGGCAGTTTTAAAGATTTCTTCTGCATTTAGCTACACATTTTCTTCATAAATGCTCATTAAACTTCATTTGTCCAACTATCTATATTTTACATAAATAACTGTATATTTAAATGTGTGAAACTGTAAATAGTTACATGTATATAAAACATTTTGAACACAAAATTTATTTTCATTTCATCTGTACATACAAGATTCAATCAAGATTTTATAATTAAATATTTTTTCTTTTAAAATAACGTTTGTTTGCTGTGAAATAGATTGCATTATAATTATTATCATATAATTGCAGCTGTAAACATTCTTGAAGCTGTCAGAAAAGGCTTATGCTGTAAATATTTTCGTATGGTAATATTAAACAATGTACCTTAAAGGTAAAATAACTTCTTATACTTTATTTTCTCAATGCGCCAGGCAGACCCCTGCCTAGATAATTTTTCACCTGCGGCAAAAAAAGTAAATTTGTGCCCCTACGTAAATTCAAATTAATTACTATATCTGCACATTTTTATATTCATCAAAAGTAACTATATTTAATCACGAAACTCGTATAATATGTTCAACCACAGCTTTATATATTCAGAAAAATTATGCAAATAACGATCAATAGTTTTTAAATAAAAAAAAATGTGGTACTTACGTATTATACCGTCAACCGTAAAACTGTCGCTAAGCAGTGTGATTTAACGACAGTTACAGGTAAGCATGGCGTAACTACACACTCTTAACATCTGCGCTTTCGTTTAATGAACTCTGATAGATTCTCGATAAGCCACGTTTTGTTTTTATGAACAAAGATATAACTTTGTCTTTTCCCCTTGTATTTTGCGAAATATTATTAAAACGTGGCATACCTTTTATAGAACAGTAAGCAGTGGATAATTTTCAAAGTTATGGGATTCTGTCATAAAACATTATGTGTATGTATGTATTATAAAAATTATGTATGGTCAACTGAATATGACCGACAAACACTAATAGATTGGAATAATTACCTGCAGGAAATTTGTACTGATAACATTCTATACAGAGCTTCCTGTAAAATCAGAGTGCCTAATAAAATAGTAAAAACCGACCAAAGCTTTTTTTTACAAAGCGGCGAAAACGAAGCTGGGCGAATAATGATTCTTTATTAAATGTAGAAGCGTCATTTCCACAGACACGATTGGTGCAATTATGACGAAATCTCAGCCATCTTTCATTATTCGATGGTAGCCATCTTTCACGGTCGACGCGATAATATGTAAGTACCAAAAATGTTAGCAAATACTTTTTGTTAAATAGCAAACAGTGAAATAGGATAAATAGTAATATATTAAATGTAAAGGCTAGTACACTAATGTGCTCAAGCATTGTTTTTAATTTAATTTTTCTTGTTCTGAATGAAGCAAAATCATCAGTAATGTTTTACAAAATCTAATTTCTAAAATAAAGTCTGCGGGGCCCTGTAAACGGTACACACGAAAGACACGGTATTTACAGCTCACTCCAAAGACAGCTGAGTTTGGCCCGACAAAACTAAATCGTGAGCAGTTCGTTCGTACCAGTCCTAGGTGGTCTAAAACAGCGCACATACCAGTCCTAGGTAGTCTAAAACAGCGGCGACAATTAACGACCTCCTCCGCAATTCTGCTCCATAGCCATGTTTGGAAATTTTTTCTTTACTAGCTGAAAATCTTACATTAATTTCCCATTTTAAGTATGTTGAAGTTTTATCACCTTATAAGGTATTTCTCCCGCCTTCCTAGCATGCCTTCGTGGTGTGGTGGTCTGCACGCGGGGCGCGTATTCCAGAGATCCGTGGTTCGATTCCCGGCGAAGGCGTTGCTAATTTTTCATCTTGCTCTACAGTGGCGCCCCAACTAAAAGAGGGTGTTGGATGATGATTCTCCTCACCCAGGATTTGGCGATTGGGTCCCCTAAAAAAAAACTCCAGTCGCCCTTTAAAAGGGGGGTATATAAAGTATTTCTCCCGCCTTCCTAGCATGCCTTCGTGGTGTGGTGGTCTGCACGCTGGGCGCGTATTCTAGAGGTCCGCGGTTCAATTTCCGGCGAAAGCGTTGCATATTTTTCGTCTTGCCTGCTCCCAAAAAATCCTAATGTCTCTACAACCTTTAGCGATAATATAACTGGCAACACTAAAATATTCAGCGTCAGCTTTCGCATTCCGATAATACTGAATTAAATTCTATTCTTGAATTTTTTTTTTTGAAACATTAAATTTATAGATGCGTAGTCTTCAGAAATATCGTTATTTATAAAATGTAAAAAGAAAGTGATGATTACTCTATTTTATGTGTTTGCTTGTTTAATTCATATGAGCGTAATCTGCCTAAGGGAAAGTTGTCTTCATCGAGAAGTTTCTTAGGAGAATTGGCTTGCACTTAACGTTACATATGCGGCTACATGGAAATGCACATACAAGAAGCGCGTTCACTAAAATTTGAACTAAGTCAATTGCTGTAATTTTCAGGTTTATGTACAATTAAAGTTTTTGACTGGGAATATAACGTATAAAAGTATTTTAGTATAAAATTCTTAATTTATCTGCATCAAGATATTCATTTCCCGCCCATTAAAGTCTTTATCAATTCGATGTATTAGTATAACCTTTAAGTAGTAATAACAAACTGAAAATCAAAATATGAGGTGCGAGTTTCCTGTCACAATTTAAATATAAAATAATTTTAAATCGTTAATATTTAAATGCGTTTTCGATTTCTATTCATTTACGCAAAATAGGCCAGGTGAAATCTGATTACGCTACGCGAAGGGCCTTCGGGGAGAACTTTTTAAGTGAAATTGGCTCGTTTTTACATTAAAGATAAGCAAAACAAGAAAGCACTCACGCAGCCCACCCTTCGGCTGGATATCAGCCAGTGTGTTGAATGATATGTTGATCGACTGATGAGTATTTAAGTGCAATTATTTCCTAAGAATATTTATTATTACTGTGCATTACCAACTTTTTCATACGCGTTTATTTTTATTGCTGTTCATAATCTCATTTTTCTAACCTAATCAGAATAGGCCTGTGAATTTTATCGTGGCAAGGAGTACAAGATTCGCGTGTATGTGGCATGAGCTCTGCCGATCACCTCAGACTAATTCGGAAATGTTTGTGATAATTCTTCCTCAACGAAATTCGAAATTTTAAATCTTCTTGTGTATTTCTTTGATCATAAACAATTTGTTACATTATTTCATTTTTAACATTAGAGCCACTCGGATAAGTCTTGCCTTAGCTTATTTCTTTGCATACCAGTATTAATAGAGAATGAATCTAACGTACCTATTCTTTTCATATGTCTAGCAAAAGTCAAACCTTTCCCAGGAATGTACTAAATAAAACCAGCCGCACAGTTTAAGGAAATTAAATATAGGTACAGGAAAAAAATTCAAATTTGAGTTTATCCTATCGGACGTTAGAATGAAAAATAGAACAGGCCAAACTTCGAAAACCTTGTATTCGAAAAAGAGGGACGAAACTGATAATAGAGTACTGTTTGAGATTTGCAAGAACTAACCGTTTTGCTTTCTCCTAATAAACTTAAACTAAAATAACTTCACATTTAATATTCAAAAGCATCATATTTATTTTCAAAATCCGTAGAACTACGACAAACTACAACAAAGATCAGACGGTTACCACTTTTACAGTGACAAACTATAAAAGAAAGATAACAACTGAGGCTTGTTTCTAACAATACTCTCGCCTTTTGATTGGTGACATATACTTAATCAATAAAACAAAATATAAGAAATACTGTCCACACAAATATCAAGACAGTAAGCAAAAAGAAAATTAAATTCTTAAATTTCTATACTAAAATAACTCAAGTAGTGTTCAGGTTAGAAATCTAGATGGAATTTTAATTTGTCGTCCACTTCTAATCAGGACAGTCTTAATGTCATTTGATAAATCTGTAGCTGAATTATATTTTGGTAATTTTGAAACTAAACTGTCTTCACCCTGCGTCTCGGTTTCATTTGCCTCATCTGAGTCCAAAAGATGAAGGTATTTCGAAAGGGAATATTCTCTGGATTGGTCAAACTAATTCTCCAGACATGGTTTTTGACACGGACTCAGACATGGTTTTTGAAGGTTGCCGTCTTTCCTGGGTATATAGCTCAATCACTTTTGCTAGAGGCCACAGCACCTTGCGTTTGTCATCACATTTGATAAAAACTATGACCCCAAATTTATCTGTTGAGAAATCCGCACTGTAGATTTACGTTGCACTAGCAGGCCGAGATATTCATTTCTAAATCTCTCTCAAGAGTCTTTTAAATTCAGTAGATGTCTCAGTCGCTTGTTTAAATCAACTTTATCAAGGTGATCCAATTCAGGAACTCCAGAGATTGGAATTTCACCTAAAAACAAGGACAGTGTCAAAGGGTGATATCAGAGTCCTTTGACACATAAGTGAGTAGTCTGGCATTCACAGTTGCACAGCAGACTCATCATTTCTTCATAATTCATACACGACTGGCATCGGACTGGACTCAAAAGCTTCTTAATCATTTGAACAAGTCGTTCCCAAAAGCCAACCTATCATGGTTCTGCGGGTGGACTGAACATCCAGTCGATCTTGTTTGTGGCGGCTTCTATCTCGATGGTATTCTAATTAATCAATCTCAAGAGATTATTGGATCCGACAAAATTGCTTCCCTTGTCGTTATAAATTATCGATGGCCTCCCTCTACGAGCAATAAATCTTCTAAGGCCAAGTAAAAATCCTTGAGTTGAAAAGGACAAAATCAGTTCCAAATAACCGCCCTTAAAACAGCACAGGTTAAAAGTAAAATCCAAGCTTTTCTTTTATCCTTCAAAATTAATCGGCCAGCTAAATCAACGCCGACAATCTCGAAACCACGAGCATCTCTAACTCTGTTTTATGGTACAGTATCAGGCACAGTCTTTAGTCGTTTAATTCCATGCCTCTTGCACCTGACAAATGCATATAAAGCTTTTCGAATTGTAGCTCTGCTTTTCAGGATCCAAAACATCTCTCTAAGTGTTGACATCAGTACGTGATTTCCTGCATGAGACATAGATGTTTATCAATTATCAGTTTCTCCACAATCTTATGGTTCTTCGAAAGTAACATCAGATAAATAAAATTTTCATGGTCTTTCATTTCAGTCAACCTAGACTTGACACG